TGCTTACACTGGGTGTTCCAAGCAGACTGAATACTAATTGTTAAACGTGCTCTGCAAAACAAAGTGTGTTTGACTATTTCGAATGACGAATACGTTCGAAAAGAACGTTGTCCCTGACGATTTTATGTATTTCTTTTTCATTTTAATTAAATTAAAATTAAAAAATTGATATTTTTATATCGTTACGTATAATATTTTATACATGTATATAATTACTAACAAAATAATAATAGTTGATAAATTTTTTCATAATAAAATCCTATCTGCTCTCTCTCTCTCTCTCTCTCTCTCTCTCTCTCTCTCTCTCTCTCTCTCATCTCTCAAACAATTACAATTTAATAACTAATTAAGACATACATGTTTGGCAAAGTTATTATATTTTAATAATTGTAGCCATAGTATATTCATTTTTTTAAATCATTTGTCAATTTTATTATCAACAAATATAAATAATAATAAACGATTTATTGTGTACTCAACAAATATAGTCACGCTAAATGGTGAAAATTTAAATGTCAACTATTTTGAAATACCAGGATGATCTCATCTATAAATTCTTACATACTTGATAATTTTCAAATAACATATCTTGATCAGTATACATTATTTGTCATTTTCTGAACTCTGAACTTTTACACGTATGGTTCATGATCCGTACCCGGTGTCAGTGAAAGGCACCAAGAGAAGAGAAATAAGACATTTTCATGATCCCACGAGAGCCTAATTTAATCGTCGTGCAAGAATTCTAGCATATTGATCTCGAATATTAACGAGGCGATTAATTGAGATGTAAGTATATTAGAATATTTATACTATCAGCCAAATGTAATACATTCTGTCTTATGCGCGAGTTTCAAAAATAGCAGCAAAATGACGATTTTTCTTGATAACTTCATTCGAATATTAATCATGATTATAGATATTATAAATATTATTATTATTAATTTTAATAATTTAACTAAATACCTCTTGGTTTTATATATTTCCAAGCATAGATGACTCTGTGATTAGATTACTGAGTTAGATATTATATAGTATTAAAGATGTATTTAGAAAAATTAAAGAGCATAAATAATTTAAGAATTGCTACGCATAATTAGAAAGTACTCAATAATACTTAATCAACTTAAGAAAAGGAAGGAGTGAGATTGAAACTTCTTCGACCAGCATCCGTAATCGCAGAAAGATCTTGATAGTGCATTTGGCGACGATTAATCATTTCTCGTGCAATTAAAGATATTAATTTCAATGCGACCGGACACGGCGATAAAATCGATTTTGATGATCAATCGCGCGAGTTCTCGTGCTAATAATTCGAGTCGCGATTGATTTATGTGCAAATACAATGTTGCTCGCTTTCATGGTATTTCCTTTTTTCTCTTTTCCCTTTCTTTTTTCTCTTTCTTTTTCATGCTAGCAACTCGTACCACACGTTTGCCTTTGCATTCGTGAAAAATAAATGCACCGGCCATATGACACATCCATCTTCATTTGACGGCCTTGGCCCGGGTATCATACCGATGTTTTTGCCAACAAGAATTTGTAGGAAGCAATGATTTACTTATTTTTCTCCAATAAGGGAGAGGTGCGAGAAAGATGGATGGTTGTGAATAAAAAAAAATCGATGTTAATAATATAGAGTTTAAGGTTCAAAAATATGTCTAACCTTTTCAGAGAAATCTTAAAAATTTTGAAATAGAATTTGTGATTTTAATCTGTTGAGAAATTTATTAAATTTGTAAATGTCTTTCATTTTTTTAAAAATAAGATTAAATATCTCTACACAATTTATAAAACCTTATAATTTACATAATATGTATAGATTAATTTATAAAATGTACTTCACTAACTAAAATTTTATAATATTATAAGTAATTTATATTTTTTTTAACTTATTATATTTATTATGCACAATACTTATAAGAAGGGAAACTAAATTATAATAAATAATATATTCTTGTGTGATTATATGAGTAATAAATAATAATAATAAATCAGTTAAAGATTTTGCGTACTTACTTATATAATTGTGTATCTCATCCGTTGCGTCCAGCAACGTCGTCGTTCATATCGTACATTCAGTATACACGCGCAAAATTCCGCAAACACTATTTGCGAACTTCTATAAGAGATGCTGTAGACAATAACATCACAAAATAGCGTTTTCGAAAACTACTTTCAAAACATCACTTAAAATTCTTTATCACGAATAAATTTGTTATTGTAGTTGGACAAATATTTCGACCACTTCTTCTTTTACTGATCATTGAATTCTTTTTATAATGAATTCTTATATATATATATATACAATATGAATTTAAAATATTGAATTAAATATTAAATATTATCGGTGTTCTTAATTCTAATTTATTTATGGAACTTAGCAAAGATCCTAGGTTCTTTTGGAGCCATGGGACACAGAAAAACGTAAGCAGTAAGGAAATCAACATGTTGGATTTGTTACTGTTTACATTTTACTGCTTAAGTTTTTTTGTATACCATGGCCCTTACCGTGTAAGGTCATCAGTCTAGAGACTGCAATTTAAAGATGGTTCCGCATCATTGGGAACTGCAGTACACACCCAAATAGTCTAATAAAAAATACAATGCTTAACTGCACTGTTTAAAAAATTTGCAGAGAATATATCCTTAATAACTAATTTAATTTAAAAAACTATATTAATAAGAATAATAATAATAAATTTCTCTCTCCCTTCTGTTATGTAATCAATTTCTTTCTTCGTTGGAATTATCTTTCTTATAATTTCCTTTTTCTCAGTAACAAATTCTTTTTGTTAATGATTTTTCTTTCGTAAACATTAAAATTTCTTTTTCTCTTCTTCCTTTTCAGTAACAAATTTTTTCTCCTTTTTAATGACTGTAATAATAATACTTTCTTCTTCTTTAATAACTAGTTTCTTTCTCTTGATCAATTCTTTTTCGATAATTTATATTTCTTAATAATCAATGGTTTTCTTGTTCTCTCTAAATATATGTATATTGTATGTAAATGAAAACTATCGCTGATCGTAACTACGATCGGTGCATCCTAACGTGAATTCCTGGCGCGCGTGTTAACGCCGACGTGATTCTACTGCCGAAGTGATCAGATTCGCTAATCGCTTCTTTTCTCGATGAGCAAAAGAGGATTTTCTTTCTTTGTGTATGATCATTTGCAGAAAGCACCGATTTAATTTTATGGATGAAACTCCGCGTAAAATGCAACGCCGATTTGAATATCGTAAAATTGACAATGAGTAAGAAGATTGCGATGATGTATATTTGGGGCATCTCTTACCTAATTTAAAGTCAAAATTCTATCCAAAGCACGTTTTTAACAAAAAAACATTTCGCAATAATTATTAAAATTTATAAATTAACTTTTATAATTTTTCCAGAAAAAATAATTAATTTAAATAACCTAATAAAACTTAATAACTTAATTAAAATTGTTGTGCATCTTTTATTCCTGATAATCTCGGATATTAAGTAACAATCGAAATCAAACCAAAATAAAAAAGAAATAATCTGAGAAATATATATAATTGTCCATTTGAAGTTGTTATTTTTATTCTAATTATATTTTTTGCAACTAAAAAATGTTATCAATAATTTATTATTAAAAAAAATAAAGGATAAGTTGAATTCGCGTTGGATAAAGAATTAACAGATGAAAAGATAAAAATAAGTAGTAATAATTCCTATTAAATTATAATTAACTATTCCAGTCTCCAATTAATTCTATTATTATTATTGTCTCCAATTTATTATATTATTCTTGTCTTGTCAGTTATTAATTTCATGTTCCTATTGAAGTGATCATTCACTTCATTAGATCCCGATATCATGTCGTCCGAAATATTCTGCTCAATCACATAGATTAGAAAATAAATGTTTTATATAAATGTTAATTATTAAATCAACAACAATCTTTCCGATATCATAGAATTTACGCTCACTCGATCAAAATTCCGATATTCACATCATGTTACTCATATTATAATAATAAAAAAAACTATTTAGCTTTTCTTGCTTAATATAAAATAATCTTATAGTTTTATTAGTATATCGTTTCTCTACCAAAAATATGAATAGCTCACTCTGTCAAAATCCATGTTGTTCTCCAGTATTATCATTCATTACCCAAATTATTCTCGATCTTGCCTAACAATTACGATAATTAACTTACGATATTCACATCATCATTCTACTTCCGAAGAGGATTTAAAACTTTGCCTCCCTTTTTCGCCGAATAAAATCCGTTATTTCGATGCGACTTTTGGGGTCTTGATATTTTTAGGGCGATTCGCGTTATCATTGAGAGCGGCCTAAGAAGAGGACTTAGAATTCGCGTAGAGTTGAGCGCGGGCGTAATAAGAGACTGCCTGCTGACGGCAGTAGCCGCGGTTCGTGCCCACAAGCAGCAGCAACACGGAGGAGAACAGGGCAGGGTGAGATGACCCCTCTCTCCTCTCACACACACCGGAAGGCTTCAGGCCTGGGCCCCGTTCCCGGCTCCGGCCCGGCCCCGGCCCCGGCCACCGCGTGCGAGCGGGCCCCGCTGGCGGAGACCCCGCGGCGAATCCAAACGCTCAGTTTGCTCTCTCCCTCTCTTCATCCATCCTCAAGCGCGCACTCTCTCTTGTCGTGATGAGGTTCACGATGCCACAATCGGCAGACTGAGATCGAGAGGGGTCCCCACGTGTCGGGAGAGTCTCTCGACTACAGTCGATAATAAAGCAGCCTTAAGTAGAAATCGCCTACATACGGCGAACTTTTTTATTTTTTAAAAGCAATTATTTTCAATCTTTGTTAAAAGCTTATTTCTTTATCATTTCTTTATCATTTATACCAAAAACTTGTTGATATAAAAACCTATGTATCTACTGCAGATTCTCAAAGAATTAGTTTCACAATTTATGCGTAATCTTTTCGTAATTCAATCTTTTAATTTAATTAAAAAATATCTTCATAAAAATATAGATAAATTTGTTTTAAATTTAATTCTTTTGGTACTTAGTTGCCAATGCCTTATGGATAGACTCAATTAATACTTTAGTTTGATCGTAGGGTGGAAATGGCATGCCTTCAAGATTGTAGACGTAAACGGCGCCCTCGACATCAGCGATCACTAATTGATTCCCGTTCGCTGTAAAACCAGCAGCAACTAATCTGGTTCCGTTCGGTGAAATCATTACAGATGCTGGAGTATGCGTTTTTCTATGGATATCCCATATGCAAATCTGGTCATTTACAACGCTGGCGATAATAGTGGAACTTGTAGGGCTCCAACAAGCGTTCCTTACGCACGCCATCGCTGTCGATAGGGTGATAAGTGGCTCAGTAAGACTCTCAGCCCAGATCCTGATGCACCAATCAGCGCCGCAGGTTAGAAATAACTTTTGACAAAAGGGCGAGAACTCAAATGAGTAAATCGGACCGTCATGCGCCAGAAAACTGTCCACGTGCTGACGCAAGTAATTCGTGGAGCATTGATAAATACAACCTTCATCGGAGCCGACAAAGTAAATGTTGCTGACGATGGGATGTCTTCGAAGAATAAGCGCACTCGGTTGGCGGTTGATGGGTACATCGTAAGCCACACAATGATCGGTTCTAGAAATCCCGCTTAGTTTACCTTCGACTCTATATAGGCGCATGATTTCTGTGGCAAACAAATCTTCTCCTAAACGGTAGCAGTATATCCGGCCATCTTGATCACTGGTGTAGATTTGTTCTTGGTAATTAAATTGCTCATCGCCACTCCACCATTGAACCTAGTGGAAAAATTAAATATTATCAATCAAAGTTGTACCGTAGATTTAGCAACTAATAAATAAATTAAATGTAGTATATTTAATATAAAAGTTAGAATAATAATAATATCGCAATAAGTAACATTCTTACTTGCCAATGTGGTGAGCAAGCTGTCGATGTCTCTCTATGACTTTGCCTGATAATATTCACTTCCTTTGCGCTAACATCAATAACTCTTACATTTCCATCATAAAAACCAATCGCCAGAAGATTCGGTCTTTCTCTGCTCCAATCGATATCAGACAATGGACTATCAAAGATATATTCGCGACCAGGTTGACTAGGATTTTTGGCGCACCAGATCAATAGTACTCCGTCGGTCTTGTTGGATCCGGTTTTAGCGCCATAAGCAACAGCGAGGACGCTCGCGTTAGCCGGACTCCAGCGAAATGCAGTTACAGGACGATCGTGCACCATTTCGAATACGAATGTCCACAGTAAATCCAAGCGATAATCGAATTCCAGATCCAGAGCGCATGGATCGCGTTTAATTACGCCAGTAAAGCGTTTTTGCGCCTCCGCGAATACATTGTTTGCGATTATACGTTCCATTACGCATGCCGCATCCAAGAAACCTGTCTTCCGATAGATACGAGACAATTGCTCCTCGGGGCTTTGATCAGGAATTGTTTCAGGTTCAGGGAGTTTGTATTGGAATTCCTGTTACAAAAAAGATAAATGGGAATCTCTTTAACATTTTTTGTAAAAAAATTTTCTACATTTTTAAATTTATCTATATTATTTCATTAAAGAATACTATCATTTTCTGAAATATTAAAAATTTAAAAACTTTAAAAAATCTTTAATCTTTTTAATATTTTTTTTTTTCTTCTTCTCTCATCCTGTGTAAAAGATATAATGTATTTATCATTTCAAAACCCTTTTTTTATATTTAAAGATTTTCGCTAAGTTAAATTAATTTTTTGTTTATGAAAATATAACATGTCAATATAATTTTTCAATTATCTACACATACAAGGTGTCCCATTTTTAAGGATCCATTCAAATATCTTAGAAACACTATGTTAAATCGAAAAATATTTCAGACAAAAGTTCTGTGACTTCGAGGGGGACATAAGATGGTACCATTGGTTTAACTTTTGGTTTTGGAAAGCTCTCGAGGTTAGCTACGAGAATATCTAACGAAAAATAGGGGGTTCCATTTAAAAAATTCAAAGTGACCTTGCCCTGATCTTGACAACGCCACCCAAGGTCAAACTGATGGTTCCCCTCGAAACCACAAAACTTTTGTGTGAAACATTTTTCGATTTAACGCAGTGTTTCTGAGATATTTGAATGGATTCTTTAGGTGGAACACCCTGTATGTGCACATATATAGTATAAATGTTTTTCTTTCTTTTTGCGATTTAATGAAAATGCATAATTGCTTTTTTAAAAAGTTTATAATTCCACATAATTTGTACCTGAGCTTCTCGCATTCGACGTATCGATTCTTTCGTATGTACCATCATACGTCCGTTCTTCTCTATCATCAGTTCCGGTGCCGCGTAGGTATCATGGATCACCCAGTTATTCACAAACATCCCTTGATTCCTGCGGGACCTCAGGCCACAGTAAGTGCCACGTGATTTCGTCAACACGCGTATCGTCTGCGTCTCGACATTCAACAGCTTCCGATCAGAGCCCGGTCCTACTGTTACATACTCATAATTCTCATTTTCCTGTTTTACCGCCTGTCCTTCGGGCGTTTGCAGATCCACGTTCATCTGCGGCATCTCGAATATGAAGAATGTCTGCGTTTCCTTTAAGGTGATTGTCACAGTTTTCGGACATGTCGGAAATATCGCCGAGTCGTCGCTGTAAATAAATACTATTCGACATTAAAAAAGTAGCCTGTATTTATTTAAATCTATTTTACATATATCCCAGACGACACCATTTAAAGGCAGCTTCAGCCTGGAACTGTCTTATAAGTAACAATTATAATAATTAATGTTATAATTTTGCACTCAACAATATAAATGTAATGTACCAAAAAATTATAGTGTTGAGTAAAAAATTATTAAGTTAATATTAAAAGTTACTTTCAGTTGATGTCGACTAAGAATATTTCTCATAAAAATATGATAATGCTGCAAAATTAAATTTACATTGCTTTAGAAAGAATTAAAACATGTAACATAAATTGCTGTTACCTAGGCAGAAAAAATGGCGATGGTGCAGCATCCTCATCCTCTTCCGTGGGCAAAAACTCACAAACCTGCGTTGACAGCAGACTCTCCATTTGTAAATCATCGGATTTAAGGAGAATGGAAGAACTAGTCCTGATACCGCTGGCTCTCGAAGAAGTTATCTGCAGTTGGGAACCGCTTCCGGTCTGGAATAATCCGATAGTCTCCAAAGCGGTCGTCTGATTCTCATCGATGGTGCTAAAGGTTGGATGGACTAACGGCTTTGGTGTGACATCCACGTTCTCGTGAATGACCCGAAAGGCCTGTCGTTGTTGAAGAAGTGTCGAAGCGACATTCCGATCGCATCCCGTCTTGCGGACTCGTCCAAAAGCACCGAGCTTTATCTTGGACGAAGCAACACTCGGAATCCTGGAGGATGTCCGTTGCGGCGATTCGAAGTCACCGGTTTTCATTCTGCGAGTGCCGAATAAAGTTTTACAGATTCAAACGTCTGGAACAACCTTTGAGATTAGTTAAAGAACGCGAGCGCAGTTTGATGCAAATGCAAGTATTTACCGCCATTTTCAGCGTTTCCTTGGAAACGCGAGAAATGGCGGTAATTTAATCAATTTGAAATGTATACGTATTTTGAAGGTGTATATATTATACATATAGAGCGATTGAAAGAATTTTTATAAAAAAAACGCAAAGAAACGTACACCAAATACTTAAAAAAAATGTTCAAACTGTATATATAGGAAAAAGAAGTCTTAAAAGAGACAAGAAACTGCATATAACTTATTTACAAAAAAATATTTTTTAATCTATACAGCACCCAGGTAGCAAATACACGTCATTTTGACGTCAAATTTTGGTCATTTACTGACCATGTCTGACGTCACTAAATGACGTCTTAATGACGTTATTGTAAGGACGTCATTTTGACGTCATGTTAGGACGTTTCCAATAACAACAATTAATTTGATGTAATTCAGATGTTAAAATAGCGACAAATAACGTCAAATTTATTACTACTTTGGGTATTTATATATATATATATATATCTGTTCACTCTAATAATCACTGTTGACGCTTACTATTTAAAGTATAATTATAAATTATATTATTAAAAATTTTATCAATATTGTTTATAATTATATTAATAAAGTTATATTAAATAATTATTTAAAATTATATTAATAATTACATTTTATCTTATTTTGAATCTAGAAGGCAATATATCTATTTAAGTCAAATTTGGGCGAGTCTTGCTGGAAAGATTTTGAAAACTTCATGATTCTACGTCAATGTCATATGTCCACCGTATAATCGAGTTAAAAATTAACGGAGTATGAACCGAATTTTCTATCATCATTAGGCACAAGCAGAATCAACTGAAAATCACTCTGACACGAGTTTAAAAGTAGAAACTCAGTGTGAGTGCAGCTCTACTCGCTACACCTGAACTGGATAGCATTTTTGTTTCCCCTCGGCTATACATAGCGTTCTACGTGATAATTCCAGTGTGATCGATAAAATTACTTAAGATAGCATTAAGCGTGTAGTGATATGTCAGGAACGTCAAACGTCGTATAATAGAAATTATTACGCGGTGCGCGTAGGTAGACCAAGGTAGACGATGTCAGCGAAAGGAAAGAAAAGAATACATAGGAAGCGTGAAGGTGGTGGAAACGGGGGGTGGGGATGGCGGCGACAGTGATGTGGTAACAGCTGTAGCTTCAAGTTTTTCGGAGAATTTTTAAGATTGAACAAAATCGTATTAGTGTTTTTTTTTTTTATATACGTAATCGTAACACTCGTAGCCCGTGAATCTGTAGACGGAGACCACGTCGGAGTGCATTGAAAGTTGGAGTGTCGCATATCCACAGGAGTGTGGAGGGCAGACCTGAGTATCTATCATGAAACATATCAAAATGAATTCCGATCGGAATTATTCCGTTTTCCCTAGAAAACACAATAGAAATCTAGGGAATAATTGAATAATTGCGATCGGGATCCATTCCGACTTTTTCCATGATAGGTATCCAGGGCAGACGGGAATCCGCGAATGTCACTGGACGCGGTGATTGCGGCATATATAACAGCTTACTCAGCTTACTGCATATAACGCGCAGTGCGGACGAAACAGCTAAATGTGGTTGACGTGAGCACTTCTGACGCGCCATGTCGCTGGTCGCGCGTTCCCAGCTGATCCTACGTTTGACATAACGCACGTATTCCCGCAGGCGTTAGACAGCAGCTCCGAAAATAGCGTAATTACGAAGAAGATATAGCCGCGCGTCTTCCTTGATGCGTGATTCAGTCGTGATTTAGTAAAATCCGAGCTGTTCCGAGAGAGAATGGCGGAGTTGGATGACTTATTTCACACGGATCAATATGTAGGCCCGGAGCGCCTTACTGATTTGTGCTACAAACTGATCTGCGAGAATCTAGACATTATCTCGATAAAGGGAAGACGCGGCCATCGGATACTACGAAAGGGAATAACCTTCCCGAGCGAGATATGCGACAAGATTATAGAATACGCTCAACGTAGCGAGGCAACGATTGATGAGGATTCCTTTTTCTCCATTTTCAAAAATCTAGCGGCGACCCGACTGAAGCACGTTAAAATCTCTAATTGTTGCCTGACCGACACTTCGGTTCAAGTACTTGTCAGCCACAAACTTTATGATTTAGAACTCACCGATTGTAGTAACGTAACAGGAATCTCTATTGAGCATATTAATGCTAATTCAGAGAACTTACACAGTTTAGCCTGTTATGGAACTTCGATGATCATACCTTCTAGTTTAAGTGCCTGTAAGAAACCATTGTAATCCATGTATCTATCTTAACGTGATCCAACAAGTGGATTATTAATTAAACTATAACCTTTGTTACAGCCGGTTCGCCCTACAATTACGTCCAACAATTACAATACTACGGACGAGATTACCAAACACGAAGATACGTTTTCAAAACGCCGAATTTAAAGCGACTGGCATTAGCATATGTAGGAATACCTTCATCAGAATATACCCTGCTACTAGCAGGATTAACGAATTTGACGCATCTAGATTTGTCCAATAGCTGTAACATTGATACTTTTGAATTTTATCACTTGGTACCAAATTTACTATCCTTAGCTTTGTACAATGTTAAGGTCAATACTGACCCAAAATCTTTTGTTAAGAACATCTGTCAGTTGAAGAATTTGAGGTACATTATAAAACTTGGATTATACAATATAATATAGTTGTTACATTATGTAATTAGAAATTTTCTTAAAAGTGCAAGTATACAGTTAGATATAATATGCAAAACTAAGCTGAACTGATATTAAAAATATAGATTTACACAGAATATTTTTTTAGGCACTTGGATATTTCTCAGTCGTGTCATAAACAGGGACAGTTTGAGAATCCTAATAAGATCTTATCTGACCTAGTGACTGGTCTACCTCAGTTGGTTTCTTTAGACATCGGCGGCACGAATCTTGCAGGAAGAGGTGTAGCCGAACGTCCTATAAATACAAATATTGAGGACACCAATTTTGGACAGCTTTCCGATATACCAGGACTCGCATCTAAAATACATAAGCCATTACAATTTTTAGGACTTTATGGAACTGCTCATGGTGCTTGTAGAAGACATGATATACCAGCAAAAGTAGTAAGATATACAAGATATTTTATAATTCATACCTACTAATTACAAGATGAAAAAATTTTTAACCATTCCCAGGTAGCAAAGTTTTTTATTTTGACGTCGAATTCAAGTCATGTTTGTACAAATGATGCCAAGTGACCAAAAAGTGATCATAGGTTTTATTAGATGTTATTTCGTGACGTCGATATGATGTCATTCCGTGACGTCATAAGTCGCCAGTTGGGTAGTATAATGGTCAGTAAAGGACCAAGATATAACGTCAAAATGATGGCTCACTGATGACATCAATAATCTGTGACATTCAAACGTCAATTTGACTTCATTAAGACGTCAATAATGGTCAGTAAAGGCCCAAAATGATAAACTTTGCTACCTGGGTTTTTTACTGCTTTATTGCAACAAAAAATTAAATAAAAATATTTTTAATTTATTTATGTATTTTCTGATGACTTGATTTAGGTTGCTGGCGATGCAAATGAGGATCAAATACTGATCGCAGCTCATGTTTGTATGGACAATAAACAAGAATTACTACAAAAAGTATTGAGCGATTTGTACCATGTATTTAGATTTGAAAATTGTCATAGAATGGATCAAGCGTTATGTACTGTTTTGGAAGCGATGGAAAAGCATCCAGCTCAGAAGCATATACAAATATCTGGAAGGTATGTGCATAGATACGCATTCTGTAATTTATAAATTGCTAAGAGAAGCAACTGCGATATTTGAGAAAGCAATTGTTAAACTTACACCAATAATTATAATTTTAATTTTATGTCGTACATCACAGCGCTACGTTATTCTACATAGTAAAAATGAAGGAAAAGGGTGAATTAGTAGCACGAATGAAGAGAAGGATTATCAGTACTCTCCTTGCTGGTATGAGCACACATAGAGATGAAGAAACTATGATGCGGAATGGTTGTTTGGCATTGTGTCAATTCCGCATACCACATGACGTGGTTTGTATTACTTTGTTTTTTTTATGTTGCATATTATATGATTAAATATTATTAGGTTTTTATATTAAATCTTTTGCAATCAAATTATAGGATATATTATAAACAGAAAAGTTGTTTATGTAATATAATCATTTATTAATATATTTGTATAGATGTCCAATTATGAAACCCTTGTAAAAGTACTTCTACATTCAGCCAAACACTCAGAACCAGAAAGTTTTGTTCAAAGAATTGGCATATATCTATTGAACTCTTTAGCTTGTCAAGTGGAAGGTAAAGAGAAAAGATTACTTGGCAAATTGGGTTGTGTTAAGACTATGTTAGAATTGGTGGAGTACAGGGTGGAAACAAATATATTCGACGATGTATTAGAAGTCGCATGGTCGACTATGTGGAATATGACAGATGAAACTTCTATAAATTGTGAACGATTCTTAGATGAGGAAGGCATGGCACTTTTCCTGAAGTGTGTACAGGTATGTTTTACAATATATATTTGATTATAGACGCTACACAATGTACTTACAATTAGCTTAAGCTGTGTGTATGTATGTGTGTGTAATTTTCTTTCTATTGCATAATAAATATATTTTCTCGCGTGTCTAGCAATATCCGCATAAGGAAGAACTATTGAGGAATATGATGGGTTTGCTCGGAAATGTGGCAGAAGTCGAATATCTTCGGATCCATCTTATGCAGGAACGATATGTAACTGTTTTCGCCAATCTGTTACGCTCTAATAGTGATGGAATCGAGGTTTCGTATTTCCTTTTTTCTTCTTTCATTTTTCCTATTTTTTTTTCAATTTTTTGTAAATTATCTACTTCAGTTTTATTCGA